TTTACATCTCTGTTAACATGTTTCTTCTTGTCTTGCTTTGCCATTTCCAGGTCATCTGCATTGTATTTGTTTTTTCTTGCCCATCAAGTGAAATAAACATGAAAATATGTATTACTATATATAGCCCAAATATGTGGACCCAGGCCATAGTTTGTTTATTGCTTCCATCCTCTGCACTGCTTAGACTTATTTTCATGAGATCTGAGCTTAGCCATTCTCCAAGTTTTTTTTTTTGAGCATTCTTGAAGTGGTATTTTTGGAACAGAATGTGTATTTTTCAGAAGGAGAGAATGTGCTCTCGTTCTGCTCCCCACCCTTAGTGACTTGTCTATAGAGAACAGCTCAGCACCTGGTCAATGTTTAATGGAAAGAGTAGACCTAATACCATTAGGAAATGAATTAGCAGAAAATTGTAGAACAATTTTCTTCTGTTTAAAAGCTAAGGGCTGTTTTCCTTCAGCATTCAAGCTTCCCCTCACTGCAAGAGAACAGGAAGAGGTTTATACATACACATACATATACATTTTATTCCATATTTATTTTTTTCCAATTAGATTAGTAATCACAGTCAGGTAACTTATTTTGAACAAAGTTTACATGATTATGCCATGTTAAAAAAGTTTTATTAAAGGATTAAAATCTTAAGGGATGTTTAGCAAGGCAGACAATTTAAAGGAAACGATTAAAAATAAAACTCACTTGAGTGGATAAACATGCCCTTCTGCCAAACTGAGCAGATTAACAAATTTAAGTTGGCTTTTTGGCCACAAGGACTTCAGTGCTGGGAAAACTTCTTGGTCCTTGTCCTTAAATATTTGTGAAATGTTGCTTTTCAAGTTCTTTTCACCCAATTCTGCTCTGAAAGGAAAGTTTGTTCACAGGTATTTGTGGGGAGAATGCCTGACAACACAAATACCAGGCTGGTAGCATCATGCAGCTTCAGCTGGTAATAGCAGAGAGACAAGTTTCATCACCTCTTGCAGTCAGATGTACCTAAACTACCTGAAAACAGAAATAATGGAATGACATCCAGTCTAAGAGTGGTTCTGTGGCTGCCCATCTTAAAGACAACAGAAAGATGAGTGCAAATATTTTAGTGTTTTAGGACCAAATCCTCATTGGTGCAGTGGGAGCAGTAGCAGAATAATGGAATCATAGAATCATACCATGATTTGGCTTGGAAGAGACCTTTAAAGTTTATCTAGCCCACCTCCCTTCAGTGAGCAGGGGCATCATCAACTAGATCAGGTTAAAGTGGTGAGAATTTATACTGAGCCATTCTGGGGCAATTAATAAATTACTTTCAGACCCACAGACTCCAGTCAAGGAGAAATACACAAGCCACAGAAAATAGTGAAGCTTGACATTCATGAAGTGGGAGGTTGCTGTTGTCTGGGGCTTGCAATGTAGCCTGTGTGCAGAGACTCAGCAAAGTAAAAGCAGAAAGAACTGGAGGTATAAAAATCAATGCTACAGCAAATTAAAATATCTTTTCTACTGAATTAGAGCATCTGCCTACAGATTTAATACACTCCAACTTATGCACATTGCTTTCATGCTTTTTGTTGATTCACTTTAACTAATCTGAGGTTTTCCTTGGGGAGAGAGTCTTAGACATAGGCTGCTCAGCTTGTTGCTGAATTTTATGGGAAAATGATTTTTTTTTTTGCTTATCCTGACAATGAAAAGAACAGTGAGGTAAAAAATAAATTATTGTGATCAGAAACCAGCATATGTAGAAATTAAAATGTAAATCTATACATCTAATTGTAAAGAAAGTCTACTTTTAATCTAATTCTGTTGGCTGTTCTAGTATAAAATAGTAATTTTTGATGATTGGGGAGTAATTCACATGCATAAGCTTAATACATGGGTAAAACCACAAGTCTGCCCCAGACATTAGTACAGGACTGGTGGTTATGTCTCTGCATCTTAGCAATCCTGCCCAGCATGATAGTGGTGCCCTCCTCTCCCTTTACACATAGCTTGAATAAATCTTTGGGGTAGACATGGAAGCAAAAGAAAGTTGGCCTGCAATATTAATTAATTAATATTATGTAATAACAACTATTTGGTGACTATTAAACCACAACTGAAGTGATTTGCTCCCTCTTATGCTGAAGTCCCACCTTTCCCAACATCAACATGACTCAATATCAGATAATTTCTATAGCATTATGTTTGTTTTTGAACCAACTAGCTACTCAGTCCCATGGTCCAGAAAAACAGCTGTTACCAAACAAGAAATACATACTGACAAATGGACACGAAGTTGTTTTCAGATGCAGGAAGGTTTGCAGTGACACTTCAGCACTGTAGGATAGCATTTAATTTTTCCTAATCTCCACTGAGGTCACTGGCTGAGCAGCTCATGAGATTTGGTCCTTGCACAGACTGGGGGAGAAACACAAAGCTACTCTCACTTCTCTGGGCTGCCTATTTCAGAAAGCCTCCTCTAGCTGCTGTGCTACTCTCCAAAGCTCCCTCTGGAAGCCTGACTTTAAAATTTATCACTCAGCAAGGCAACAGGTCCACACACTGACAGCAGCACTGAAAACTACTGACAAATAGCTTTCAAACTCTATTGAATCATCAAGTGGTGAGGTCTGGTGATGTATCCAGCATCCTGGAGAGAACAGAGAGTAGTAACTCCCCTATAATTATAAATTATTTCTTCTGACATATCACATATATCATAGAGGAGAAAAAGAATATGGAGCTTTGATTTATCATTCAAAATTTCTCTTAGCTCATTCTAAGAGCTTAAATGAAGATTTTCATGATGTAGTTGCCTACATTTGGTTAAATAAATCCTAGCACTACTCTGGTTTAGATCAAGCCTCTCATAGTCAATAATCCATATATGAAGAGGATGTTCAACTCTGAATTAATATGTTCTGGCAAGAATGTTGAGCTTTATTCTTTGCAGCTCTACCCTCCCCTTGGGTGGTGTAAATGACCACAGAAGATGCGGGCAAAAGAAAGAAAACAATACTCACTTTTCAGTGCATTGGAAAAAATCCTGTACAAATGAAAACTTTTATGAGATCATGACAACCTCCCCCCACCCCAGCTCAGGTGCATTACATCATTACATTAGTACAGACAGAAAATCAGATACCATTGATTTTTCCAGACCTCTCAGATTCACTAGTGAAGAATCAGGATGACAAGTGGAGAGTCTGGTAACTATGACTGTATCTTTCAAAATTCAAGACTCTTATTTGTAGACTAGAACCAACTTATTTTCACCTTGCCTGTTTTTCTTTTCTCCCAGTGTTTCTTAAGCTACAAGTAGTTCCTGGGCTGTCTCATATGTCTGACCTTAACTAGGGGTGCCTCTTTTGTCCTTGAAAACATCACCGTGCAGGTAACTCAATCCACTTTGGGTTCTTACATCGTCTTCACCTTCATGAGAATAGAACTTCACATCTTAGTCAGTTGCTTTGCTTTGCCCTTTTTTCCCCTAGAGTTGTTTTATTATGTATGACAGCTTTTTGTAGCTTACCACATTAAGCACCACACTGTGAGTGAGCTTTGTGCACATCTGGCCCTCAGTAACAACTGAAAAGACTTTCTTTTCCCGTGTGTGATTGCAATCATGTCATTACAACAGTATTTACTGTAGCAAGTAATAGTAGGCAAGTATTCCTTTTTCAATATCTAGACTAAATCTGTTTAATGGGTGCATTTTCCCCATCTTAAAAATTATAATGTAGTTTTTCTTTCTATCTATTATACAACTCCAAATCGGCTTTTTGTTGTTGTTGTTTTTGGTTTTGGTTTTGGTTTTTTTTGTTTGATGGAAGTCCTGGTGTGGTTGCTATTCAAACAGGGTCATTATTAGACCAAATAAGGTCCTTGCAGGACTCATGTCAACAATGGCCTTTCAGTTTACTTTTACATGATTGAGAACAAGGAATACCATGAGGTCTACAAGCACCTGGGCCAGCTCTCTTGAAACAGCAGCAGGTGCTCTATAATGCACCTGATGTCCCATTTCCCCACCAGAGAAAATAGGAATGATCATTTTAATATTAATCCTAAAGCTGACATAGCTAGAAATAGCAAGTTTATATGCAGGATGGCAGTATTGCTGCAAAAGAGAAGTGTAATCTAGTTTGACAGATTTCATTTTCCTCCTACCCTTTCAGTTTTTGACCTTCCTATAACAACTATCAACAGAGGTAGAAGGTAATGCTGATTGGTATGGTTGTTCTGATGCTATCAGAGACTTGTGACCAGTTCTAAAAAAGAATTTAGACAGAGGAAACAATACAAACAATGAGAGAGATTCAGCTGTCTGTTCTGTCTCCATCAGTCAGCATGAATCCATCTCAGCCAAACAAAGATTCAGATTTAGTTCGGACAGTGGATGAAAGTTCTTTCATTTGCATGATATAAAAAAATTACTGTGATATTGATTATCCATTAGTATCTAGGCAGGCAGAGAACAAATTAACCAAGTTTCAAGCCAAAGAGGACCATTCTAGGATTTAGTATCATTTTTTACATCACATAGGCTAAGAAGTTTAGTTTTATTACTCTCTCAAAAGAAAGACATACAATCTTGATTTGAAAATGTCAAGGCATTCTTTACAGCTCTCAGCAGTCTGATGCAGTAGCTAATCACCCTGATCTTAAGTCATGTACTCTACTTCAAATTCAGAGCTAATTCCAAGCCTTAGATTCTGGTTATTCCTTTTTCTGACAAAGAATTCTCTTCAGTAGACAGTTCTCTTTTCCCCTTCACTTTTTTTTGGTGAAGATACTAATTGACTACAATTGACTCACCTTTTGAGTTTAAGTACAGTTAAACTGCCTGAACTTTTTTTAATCTCACAGCAAAAATCCCATCTTCCAACTCGCAAAATAATAACTATAGGATTTTCCTCTAGTTCCCCAACTTTTTCAGTAGATTGATGCACCCTGCCTTTGCAATCAGATGGAATATTTTAACACCATGACTGAGAAGGTAGAAAGGAGGAGGCAGCACTCACCTCCTCTTGCTGGGTATAACTCCCATCTCTTCACTGTCTCCTTCCAGAGTGACCCTCCTCGCCTGCCACCACTCATCGTCCGAGGCGTTGATGACATGAAGGATGTCTCCATACTTAAAACTGAGTCCTTGGCTTGGGAGGCCACTGTCTTTGCTCTTGTCATAGTCAAACATGGCTCTGTGAAAGGGAATAAAGACATGTAGAGAGGTGATTGTATCAGTCTTGGGAACATTTACTTCTGAACAATTTGCTACCCTTGCTCCTTTCCAAAGGGAAAGGTCTTGCTCAGAGGAAAACTTTCCACTGTGAAGTTAATCTTTACAGAATCTTCTGTTTTTAAGAGAAACTGAACAGTGGAGTATGGCATTTACTGTTCCACTTAATCAAGAACAATAACCATCTCAGAGTATCTAGTAAACAAACCCGGTATCCAGAAGCCTCTCTTGTCACCTTGCCAACAGCTGTTTGTGGTTGTTGAGCATGTCCTTTGCTCCCACTTCCCAGTGCTCAGAGAGGGCTTGTCTGGCACACAGGGTGGGGAGGGCTAAATACAAGGGACCAAAACTGTGCTCCTGGCAATGCATTTCTTTAGGGGAACTTTTAGGGGAATTTAGTATCTAGGTCAGAACAGAAGTGAGGTTTCAAAGGGAATCTCTTGATTATTCCCACTCATTGTGCTTTGGTTCATGTCCTGGAGGTGCGTTAGGTGGCACACATTGGATTACTGAAATTTGAATGATACCCTGACCAGAGTAGTTCTAGTCTGACATACACGCCACCAAATCCTCTCAGGATGCAGAGAGAACCACTGCTTTCACTGTCCATGGCCAGCCCCTGCTCAAGCAGCCCTAGCCCCAGCTATTTCTTTTGATGTTGAAGATGTTTTGCACTAGATTGAAGTGGACCTCTACCTTGGGTATGCCCATACAAAAAAGTCCTGTGCATAGGACATGTACATTAGTATTGGACATATATAAGCCTAGAGACTCCATAAATACACACTCAGAGCTATCTTTAAAGTATCTGGCTATCAGACTGTGGCTGGGAATAGTTCAGCCTGAACTTACTGCCTAAGTATTCAACCTGGATCATGGAATTGCACAGAATCACAGAATCTGTCTAGTTGGAAAAGACCTTTAAGATCATAATGTCTAACCATTAACCTAACTCTTGCAAGTTCACTGCTAAGGACCACATCTGTATTTTTTTTAAGCACCTTCAGGGATGGTGATTCAACCACGTCCCTGGGAAGCTTGTTTGCGTGCCTGATGATCCATTCAGTGAAGAAACTTTTCCTAATATCCAATCTAAACCTTCCCTGGCACAACTTGAACCTATTTCCTCTTGTTCTATCACATGTTAGTTGGGAGCAGAGACTAACCTCCACCTCACTACAACATCCTTTCAGGCAGTTCTAGAGAATGATAAGGTCTCCCCTCAGCCTCCTTCTCTCCAGGCTAAACAACCTCAATTCCCTCAAATGCTCCTCATAAGACCTGTGCTCCAGACCCTTCACCAGCTTTGTGGCCCTTCTCTGGTCTCACTCTAGATCCCATGGAAGACCTGCAGCCTGCCCTGAGGTCTGTATTACCAAGCTACAGTGACACCAATTCTCAGCCTTGCCCAGGCCTGTGCCTGGCACCTACAGCAGCAGTGTGCAGGGCAGACATTCCCATTCCTCAGGGGAAGACCCTGCACATGAATCCCAGCAAGGCTTTACTTGAGGGCAGGTTGCTCATTGGAGTTACTTAGCTGAAAACCCAGATCTTGGTTTCTTACAGGAAAAAAAAAATAAATGGGAATATTTTTCCCATGTCAAACACTTTTTTAAGATAATACCTATCAAGAATTGATGTTTATTTCCTATTGGAAAAATAATAAATTATAATCCTGACTACAGAAATGTCAGATCAGTAAAATCCCAAGAGGTATAGAATAATTCCTACTTTTTTATTGTCAGAAGTAAAGCCGTGGCAATCTCTTCACTGAAAAACACTTCTGTGAGAAGGATTTGGTATAATTAATTGTTGTGCATTGTAGTGTAATTGTGGAGACTGATTATAGCAGCTTTATGGGTAGATTCAAAACACTCGAGACTACCTCTCATAATGAGGATAACTAAAAAGAAATTATCAGAGTTGCAACTGTGCAACCAAAATAATTTTAAATCTCATATAAGCACTTATTCTGCATGAAAGGTCTGGTCAGGAGGAGGAAAAATGTTATTTGGAGTATATCTTCTCTCTAAGAGTTTACAGTCATGTACTAACATCTTTAGAAAAGCCCAGATAATTCTGTCCTCTGAGGATGAAGACAATAAATGAACCTGCTGAATTTTACATAATCCATGAATTTAGGTATGCTTGTGCCTTTCTTGGTAAATGTTATTGGACTGCATGTAACCTTTGAAAAATTTGATTGGCTTAGCAGTGGAAATCCTTTAAAAACTTGGAAATATCTTAGTAAAAATTTACATTCATAAAGGCTTCCTATCAGTAGCAGGTCACCTGCTGCCTGCTCAAATAAGGTTTTCTGTGAGAATATATATTGAAGAAATATATAAATCCAGAAGCAGCTTAGTATCATCAGTCACCTCTTGACAAACTAATGACACCTGATCTCTGAAGAAATGGCAGTGCACACACCAAACAGGCACACAACATACAATCCTGTTGGTGTTGTCCTTATCGGCATGCTGTGGTCTGAGTTTTATCACTGTATTGAACACCTGTTGTCTTCAAAATTCACCAAATAATTGTGTACCTTGTTATGGAAGCTTGTCAACATCTTGAAACCCTGACCACATGGTTGACAACTACGCTGAATACTGGGCAGATGTGATACAATCCTGAATCCTTGCATAATTAAATTCCTCAAAGCAAGTGACAGTATATTCTGTTGCAGCTATATGCCACATGCCAAACTGGAAATGCTCCATATTCAGCAAGTTCTAAGATGAAGGGTGTGCTTCAAAGGCCAAGCAGTAGGAAGGAAGCAGAGCAGTGTTATCTGCCCTTGAGCAGACATTCATACCTCAGAGCTCACATATTTGACTGCCATTGTGCTAGCAATGTTTGGCACTGACTTTCTTTGATTGGAGTAATCATCTGCAGTGCTAATTAAAATGAGATTATAGACCTCAGACAAGAGAATTTTTGAGCATACATTTCATGGAGTGAAAGACTTTGTGGCTGCGTGCTCTACAGATGCTGATTACTCCATCAGTAAATGAAAAGGATATGAAAGCTGACTTCAGTGCTCTTTCCTAAACATTTCAAATTAAGAGCCAGGTTCAAGTTGACAACATAACCATATTTAAGCTCACAACTTTGATAACGTTTCTGGCTCTGTAAAACATAATTTTTCAAGCTGACAGTTGACCCAGCTATAAAACACAAATGGAGATCTTCAGTCTAGGCATCACTGTGCAAGTAGATGTTAACACGGCTGCCTTGGGCAATAGAGACACCTAAGAACATTCATCCTCACCTCCTTCTTTCAGTTCTCAGCCTGCAAGTATAGTTTTGATCTCTACGTGTCCAATTCTAAGCTCTAGTTTTACTTATTTAAGAGGCTGCCATGTAATTTCTAATTTTCTACCTGATGAACTGCACCCACTTCTGTTCATGCCCAGTCTTGCAGGCTTATATAAAAATAACACAGCTGCATCTGTTGATGCACTGAAGTGGTACAAAATGAACATGGCCAGACCTCTCATTTGGTAAAGGAGCTGGGCAGGGCAGACAGAAAAAAGATGCATTTTTTTGCTTTACTCTTTCATGGTTTTGGACAATGACAACCCAGTCTTATTGGATACCACACTGCATCCTGCAAGCACTGCGTGGAGAACTGGCCTTCAGAAAAGTACGTCTCTCACTGAAATTGACTGTAATAGAGAGATGTAACAGAAAAAATAAAATAAAAATAAAGGAGAAATGGTGGCGATACTGTGGGGTAGGGGCCATGGCTGGGACTTCATCCCGAGCTGCACGTAGGCCTGGGAGCATGGCCTAAGTCTGCAAAGCAACTAATGCTGTGGGAAACAGTTCTTTTCTTCCCCCCAGTACCGGCTTGGCTTGCGACAAATGCCCATAAAGACGATCGCTGTGGGTACTCACTGCACCCCTTGCCCGCTGCTGCTGGTACAAAGGAGAGAGAAGAAAAGAAGACAAAAGAGAGAGGAGAAGGAAAACCAAATACAAGGAACCGAGCTGAAAGCAGCCCTGGCTGAGACCAGCACAGGCCACGACTTTGCCAACAGACCCAGGTCCAGTGAGGAAAACAGCGTCAGACTCCTTGCTTCTCCAGCGCTGCTGAGGTTGCCTAAGAAAGCTCTTCAGGGTGATAGCAGTGAGTGGCCCTGCCACCCGTGCCCAGACTCCAAAAAGAGCCATCCCCTGTGTGCCCAGGCACATGGCAGCTCGGCTGCCAGAGGCACCAGAAAGACAAAAGAAGCAGCTGCAGCCGCCCCTGCTGTCCCTGCCACTGGTGCCATCTGCGCTAGATCTGCCACTGCTGCCACAACTTGCCTCATCCCCTACTCCAGGAGGATGTGAGCACAACAGCACCATCCAAACCTTTCACCTCTAACTAAGCACAACATCACCACCCAAACATTTCACCTCTAATGCCTTCTTGCCCCGGGCGTGTCATTGGCCCCTCACTCACACGCACCTCATCAACCCCATACAGGAACGGCTTCGGGCTCTCTCTATCCCAAACTATAATAGTCTTGTTTTTTCTTTCTCTCTACTGACCGGGTACCTTTACATATCCAGTTTTCCCCCCACACATACTTTGAAAACTTTTACAGTAAAATGGGATTTTAAACACATAATCTATGTGTGTGTGTGCGCGCACGCTCCCGAGAGGAGCTTATCAATGGGTTCTATATCCAGTGGAAGCAAGCTGGCCCCAGGCCAGGGATGGACCCACCAAAATAATTAAGAAGGCTATCCTGAATATAAAATTTGGTGTTAGAAAATCCTGAGAAACAAACAGGGTGGTTGTGCCCTGAGATATGGCACCTTTGACCCCAAACTGGGTTCAGACCACGACACACTAAAACTTTCATCTGAGGGTCAAGTTGAGCTTTCAGCAAAGTCTATTTGATCTATGCAAGCTGCTTTAACAGGATAACATCCTAAGGTATGTTAGAGACTTTAGATGGTTTTCTA